TTTAAAATAAAAAACAAAAAAGGATACAATATTTAGCCGGGATTAAAAAGAGAATAACGCTTCAGGGACCGAAAGGTCCCTAAGTCGACGGAGACTGAAGGTACGTGGCATCCCCACGTTCGTTAGTACACCATTTTCACATTATAATTAAATTTATAAATTAGTCCCTACACTTAACGCTTAACATTTAGTTTCATCCTTCAACTTTTCAAATTATTTTTCTTAATCTCAAAGTTTATTTAAAATTTAATTTATAGATTAATATTTAAGATTTGTAGTTTAATATTCTTAGATTTTGGGGTTTAATATTTAAGGGTTAGGATTTATATTTTTAAAGTTTAGAGTTTAGTATTTGAGATTAGAGTTTAGGGTTTAGTATTAAAGATTTTTAAGGTTGTTTACTTATATTTTAATTTGAGATTTATGATTTAAAATTTTAATTTTAGATTTTATAATCTAATATTTAATGATAAAATTTAAAAATTTAAGATTTATGGTTTAAAAATGATGTTATTATTCAAATAAAAAATAAAAAAAATGTCATAGGACCTAAAGTTGAAGTTAAAACTTTCTAAAATTAAACATAAAAGTGAAAAAGTAATAGGTTAAACCCCATTTTGGTCCCTCAACTATTGTATAGACCCCTGATTTAGTCCCTCAACTCAATAAATCCCTGATTTGGTTCCTACTGTTTACCATTTTGACCCCAACTTAGTCTTTCCGTTAAAAATCCAATGACGTGTCATATTAACTAACGGCTACATGATGACATGTCAAAAAAACATGACATGTCAGATGTACACTTGGAAAAAAAGATGACATGGCAGTATGACATGTCTCATTCTTGCCAAGAACCAAACAAAAGAAAAACGTGGGGCCCACCCCTCCAAAAACTGAACCCTTCTCCCCCGTTCTTCCTTGTGGAACCCTAGAACAACAAAGCTTTTCCATCAAACCCAGGCGTGCTAGGTTCCTCAACAAGCACCTTTTCTTTTTCCTTTCTCTTCCTTTGCTTTCTTCATCAATCAATTCTTCATTGTCATCAAACAACAAACCCACAAAAAAAAAAAAAAAAATTTTTAATTTTTTGCCCTTGGGTTTAAAAGAACACAGGCGTACTGGGTTCGTCAAACCCAGCCCCTGGGTTTGAAGGAACCTCATGTCTGGGTTCCATCAAACCCAGCACCTTGGTTCAAAAGAACACTACTATCAAAATCCAGACATACTATCAAAATCCAGACATAATAAAGCAGATTCAGCTAACCAATAGTAGAATCATAAAACACAAATCTAGAGACCAAAAAACCAGATCAGGAAACCAAATAAAGCAATCACTAAAACCAACTAAAGCCAGAACGAACTAAAATTGCAAAATCAACAATAGAGATCGTCAATGTACGCACAGATCTCACTTTCCATAGCACAAAAACATCAAAACGAGTGACAGAATCCTTAGATTAGCCAAACATAAATCAATCCATTGTAATCTCAAATTGAAAGACAAAGCCTTGAAACTAAATGATCGAGAGAGCTTACCTGAACAGGAAATCGAC